AAACTCTCACGCAGTCATCGCGCCACCGTGCGGATGACCGGAGCGCTACAAAATAAGCTTCTGACTCAACAGCCTTATTTGAACTTATTCAATAGACATTCTTTAAAGAAAGTGACCGACCTTGATTCTAATTAAAATACCACGTACGTCTCTTTTCTTCTAACAAGTTTCTTTGAGTATAGAGCTTCGCGACTTCTAGGAAATTAAATAAACAGATTGAATATTTATGTAACTTGATTTTTTCTGATAAGCATTAATTAAATACGGACATGGTTTATGTCATTAATGTTTACATATAGGCAAAAATATCTTCATTGATATCATTGTAATATTTATCTGTAATGTTTATGATCTGATGCAGTTTTTACGAATACACATTAAAGCATTAGATATTTTAGCTACATCAAAGAGATGTTAGTAATCATCGGTCTTCGTAAAAATTAAGAGGTTTTACCAATAAACATAATTCGTGTTTTAGTTTACGAGACACAAACTGAATTATATAGTTTACATCTTGCATCTTCGCAAGTATTTCATTACTAGGGTTCTTTGCTTTGGATTAATTTTAATCATTAGTATAAAACCAATTAACCAAGGTCGTTATAAATTTAACATAAGATTAGCTTTAATCCAAAAGTAACTGCATGTTATTGCTGTTCAGTTCAATAATCACACTAATATTATAAATGCAAAAGTTTATATGTATCGAAGGATGGATGAATGTTTGTTAGATTTGAAACCTAAGCGGGTGAACGAATTTCGATGAAATTTGGTATAGATATAGAGGATAGTCTGGAATAACACAGAGGCTACTCACTTTTGTTTCTTTTAGTTCCACGCGAACGGAGTCGCGGGCTAAATGTTACTTTTATATAATTCCGTGATAATATTAGCCGCGTTGCGAATTGATAATATTTATAAGATATCATAAAATAAAACTACGATGACGCCAATAACGCCTGTATAATTTTAATCATAGGAAACGATTCTATAAGCTATTAAAATTTTAATTCGAAATGAATATATAAGAAATTTATATCCACTTTTATTTTGGGCACCTCAACTTATACGCATGGATTTAAAAAACAAAAGCATGTAGACTACATGATCCTTCAGACTATCCTCTACATCTATGCCATATTTCATGGAGATCTGTTCAGCGGATTGCGCTACAAACTCTAACAAACATCCATCTATCCATCTAAACTTTTTTACGCATTTACAATATAACTAGGGCACACGGCAATAGGGAATTCTATCGCCTTTAACTAGTGTTTATTATATCATAATTAACTTGCAGAATACTTAACCTTAACTACTTTAGGTAGGAAATAGGCTCTCAATTCCAATATTATCAACCACATGATATCCTTGTGAAAAAAATAATTAGTATTCGAATTTGCAATATTTGTTCGCAAGTCTAAAGGTGCATAACTATTTCGCTCATGATGAGTAAAGTGACAAAAACTTCTCGTAGTTTTTTTGATAACGATGATTTTACAACTGACAACTTTACCCACGCAACTGTCAACCCTATGATACATACTCTCGCACACACGTCGAAGGCGATGGCCCAATTGACTACGAACTATGTACAGTCGGGGAATACCGCGCTGTTGCACTTTGACATATTGCTTTGTTCCTTACAATAAATTCCGCCTTTAACAAATAACTAATTTGGTGGAAGTGAGATGCCTAAACGACGGGATAATAAAAAAAAAACTATCACTTGCCCCATGCTCTTGGATATTGTTATGCGTGATCGTTTTAATAAACAAACGTTCAAACGACTATAGTTATTTTAGATAGAACACCGACAGATTCTCCGACTGTATATATTTTAGTAAACAATTTATTTTAAGTTTTAAGTTTTCGTCAATTATAATTTGAAATTGACCATGTTTTAAAGGAGTTTCGGCAGTAGAAATCCACTATGATTTGCATGTAAATCGGATGTTTTGTAGAAACTTTTGTTATCCGACAATACTGTGTAAGCATGCGCCGGCCTCCGCGCTCTTCGCGACGCCCACCGACCTCTCTCAGATCCCGATGAGTTTTCATTGTCGCCGATATTCACACGCCACAGACGGCGTCATGCAATATTCTTAAATTCCCATTTATTTTTAAACTTTTATCTAATCAAATAAGTATAACGACATGCTTGTTATCCCAGATTGTTTCTTAAGATAATTTTGTACATGTAAAACAAATGCAATAAATGGCAATGCAATTCCTTATGATGTACTTTATATTGAAACAAAAACATGTACACTATAGTTCGGTTTTCTATGTATATCAACGAGACTACCACATGAAGAGATCATGAGTGCCAACGGTTCATATTTTTCAATAAATCAAAACCGCCTGGACATGTTAATGTGAAGATATTTCTGTACATAGACTGCTCATGTTCAATATCAATGTTAAAATATTATTAATTATGTCTAATAAAAATTAATACAATAATACTAATTGGAACAAAATTTTGGAAGAAATGGATACTGTTAAAGCTACGACTTCAAGACAATCACTATATTGAATACTGCAAGATGATTGTTGTGCAAACTAGCCAAAAATTCTATCTTTTATTATCCACTTAAATTTAAAACTAACTACAACTCTTAATGAATACAAAAGAAATAAAAACGTGCAAAATTAGATTTCTTACTCACAAAAATAGACAAAGCGGTCATTTATTTTACAGCTACTGAATTCGAAAATAAAAATAGTATTTAATCATCCGATAGGTACGTGGCACTCGGGAACATTGGTCATCATCTCCCGCATGTTTTGCATTAACGTATCGTGACTCAGACCGATGTATTAGTTAATAAAATTTTCATAACACGTCCAAATTTAGTTACGCTGTTTACAGATGCCAGATGTTCAGGCTACTGTGCGGGCTGTATTAACCGTTTCTCGTGTTAAGATACAATCTGTAGTCGGCTTCGAAATCATGCAAGACAACAAAAAAAATCCGAAGAATAATTGATAAGTGTAGGTCTTGTACCAACAGCCCCTTTTGCAGTACTACACATTCGTAGCTCATCTACGAACTTTGATGTTTAAGAAAGGTAAAGGTATGAAAACAGTACGATTTAGTTGTTTAACTAATGTCCCCTTTTTCCACGAAGAAAGTATGGATGGATTGTTTGAAAGAGGATATGCTTAAGAAGAGAGTGGATTCAAGTATGACAGCTGATAGCAATGTATGGAACAGCAGTACATACTGTGCCGACTCTTCGTAGGGATAAGGGCAAGTTGATGATGACTAATGTTCCCCTTGTAATACTTAATATAACATACTACGTGTTCCAGTGCGGCTTCATCCGCATGAAATGTCAAAATTCAAATGCACAAATGACAATTGTTTCCTTGATGTTAGCAGCAACTTATGGTCACTTTCCCACAGGGTTTTTATCCAAAATATTTACCCCCTAGGTTTAATGGCGTGAAAATATAGAGCCAAAAGGGTGACGTAAGTGTAGGGCTTTTTATTAAAAAATGAACTATTCAAAAATATGCTGTGATTGCTGAGATCTTAGGCAACAAAGAAGTGTGTGTTTACGCTTTATTATAATAGTTAAGATTTATTGGGACTATTAATTAATAAGCATTCGCTAAATTGTAAATTCTACAACATTGCATTATACGACATTGTAGCTAGATTTTACACTTTAACATTGCTAAAGACAGTTTACTGAAGTAATTTATTGTTTCCGTTCTATTTTGGAAATTAATATAGTGTGTAAGACGGTATTTAATGCATACATATAAAAAGAGTGTGGTTATTTTAGAACAATAAAGGGCTGTTTGTAGATACACCCCTCTATCGCGTCACGTCACGTCTATCTACGACAATAGTTTTAAAAGATCTAATAAATAAAATAAAAACCAAGTCATTCAGTAGGTTCTTTATTAAAACACCCTCCACTCACCAAGAATGTTACACTCAAGTTACGATACTATGACAAATAATACATATTTACAGTACCTTATATTACATCACATATTTACATCAATCTGAATCTAACAAATATTTTTTGCCAAAAGCTAAGAAAAACAAACTATTGATAATCACACAAAACAGACTAGATGTGTTAACTTAAAATTAAAACAAATAATGTAACTCAATACATGGGAATGTAAATACAATTAACTTTAAATAATTTATCACAATAAAGGAATGTTAAAATTTGTCAATATCCTCATCAGCCTTACAATGTTTAGTACTGGACGTAGCCTATTATTTCCTTGACTCGATAAAGTTTAAGATAAAGTAATACGATTGAATGGATCCTAATATTATGCCAATAACTTGGTACCTTTCACAAGATGTTGTCAATAAATAAGTTTTTAACTTAAACGTATACAAATTGGCGTAATTTATTTATATCGTTGATTATTATACAAATTCTTATTTCAATACATTAGAAAGGATTTATTAACACTTTATGGTAAGCTTCACTTTTAACTACAGATCAAAATAACATAATTCCATGAAAATTAAAATCTTACAACATTTTATTTTTAAACATTTTTTTGGGAATGTCTTTATTATCTTTTTAATTATTACCTAAATTATTTTATATCATTAACAAGTGGTAATTCAGCCATTTCGTTAAAATAATCACTAGTTGTAATACATTACTTTGCAATGTTTAATATTGCATTCACTACTTATAATGGACACGGTCATATAGCACTATTGTCCCATATTAATTTGAACACTACACTTATGTAAATCACTTTTGAAGTTCACGTATAAATGTCACATAAAATACACACACGAATAACTAGCGAAACGGCTTCAGTGTTCAGGGCTAAAAGATACAGTGCGGTAAAACTCTGTATGTATCAGTATGCTGTCACTTTTGATTACAACTGTACTTCAATCTATAACTATGGTAATATAGTCTTCATTATTAGTACAGTCCGTTAGAAAAGGCTGTTAATCATGTACATTTTGGTACACTGATTCACTTCTGTCACATAAAATACAAGGACGAGTAGTACGCGTTCAGTGTATCATCTGTGGTAAGGTCGGAATCATCGCGTGGTACAGTCCATTAGAAAAGATGGTTGTTCGTTTTGGCTAGAGTGCCGAGATGGTCGGAGAGTAGGTAGTTGGGGGGCGCGACGCCCAGTAGTGGGAAGCCGGAGGGCTGTCGCAACAGGCCGCAGCCGCCGGCCCACTTGCCGCCGGCGCTGCTCACTGGAGGCATTCCACCTCCACCGCTGCCCACACCGTTTAGCTCATCGCAAAGTTTGTTCGCTGTAATAAGAAAGCATTTTAAATGCTAAACATAACTACTGTGAAGATACTTTTTTCTATCCTTTTAAAACCTTTAAGACAACAAAAGGAATAATAAAAAGAAATGTGTGGCTTAATTACTACTATTATGATTTCAAAATAATCACACAAAAAGTGATGTGAGAATGTAATAAATACATAATAAAAAAACAAAACCGACTTCCAAACAAAATGCACTAAAAACAAAACAAAATACACCAAAAACAAAATATTCTCAAAAAAAACAGTAC